ACCTGTCCAGGTGAACCTGCCTTCACCCTGAGTCAGCTGGGATAGACTCCAGCCCCCCACGACCCTAGTGAGGGTCCACAGGGAAATCACTTGACATTAGTAAAATACATAAATCTTATTATTAAATAGACTAAAACCTACAAACAGGGTCCTGCTTGTACTTATTTGACTTTTTTTTAAAATATCTTAAGAAAAAAGAAATTCCTTCAATAACATTAAAGATCATCTACATAAAAATGTTTTCTTTTTTTCTTGGTCGCACTGTGATCGTGTGTATGTTTGGATTGTGCACGATATGGTCTTGTTCTTCCTGCAACTTTCCTTCAGGATGACGCCTCCGTTTAACAATTGTAACGTTTGTCTAACTCGACCTCTGTTTTGGAAGCAGCTTTGTTTCAATGACACACACAAGAAGTGTAAAAGCCTTATATTGCCAAAATGTACCAGTTTTGTGGCTTCAGACCAAATTTGACTTGGGAGTTGTGTATTTAAAACATTTCATGTTTGCCTTTTTGGAGAATTTCATCATTAAAAATAATTTTTAATATATACATTTTCTGTCTTTCTCATTTTCTGTCCCTCATAAAACATACTTTTATTAAAGAGCGTCTTCTAATTTTATTTCCTATATTGTCTCTTGTTTTCTTTAGTCATATTTTAGAATATTTTTATGACTTGTCTGTGTAACATGGATTTTAAAAAGAACTCTATAAATAATAATTGCTGTTATTATAAAAGTGGCATGTAATACATAGAAGTTTGTTTTTTTGGCATGCTTGTCTTATGGCAATAAGGTGGTAAACTACAAAAATCAAAAGCAGGCTGACATTGCATCAGTGTCAGTATGAAATAAATATTTCTGCACACCAACCAGCACAAATGTATTTTTTTTTTAAATCAACAGAAAACTTCTTTTTTGGAGGAATCCTCATTACTTTTCCAAACATAGATGCAGTTCAAGGTTTGTTTTTATTAAAAGACAATTAAGCATCCAGGTCCAGTTTACATTAAAAGAAAACCCGTTTTATTCACATGTATGCACCATTTTCAATTAAAAGTTCTAATAGCATCGGGCGGAAGTGACGTATGGTGCTTAGTGTTGTTATGTGCAGCTCCTAATGTGCTTCGACGAGGAACAGGCGGCTTAAACCGACAGCGATTTATTACATACCCGACACATATTCCCTTAAAATTTATTTGCGTTTCTCGACTTTCTCGTGTCGCATTTAATCTCCAGGCTATTCTCACGTGATTGGCAACTTCTCGTCTAGTGTCAGGTGGATTTTTGTCCGAAAATAAATGTGCAACTGGCTTTAAACTCAATTTATCCTCTTAGTTTGAGAAGCTAAATTAGCCGCCAGCATCCTCGAAGTCTTTTAGCAACACTTCCCATCACTGACAGGCAGCGATGGAGAAGACATGAGGACAAAGAAGAAAGGCTCGTATCGCTGTCACGTCTCACTCACTGTATCGGTATGCATATCTGTGTGTGTGTGAGTGAGTGTGTGTGTGAGTGTCGGTATGCTCGCCTCTGCTGTTGCATAATGGGCTTTGCCTCCTACTGCGGCTCGTTGTGCAGACGTTTAGCTAGCAGCACACAACCAGCTACTGTTAGCTTTGGGTTTGGGCTAAATTGTCTTACTGTGTTCACTCCAAATGTAAAGTGGAGGATTAAGTTACCAGAACTGGGGTTTCTGCTTTTATTCAGTTGCCACCTGAAGTCTTAAACTGTGAAATGGTTTTATTACCCAGTTAACGGGTTTTTCCCCCCCTAATAGCTGTAAATGGACAGGTGTACTAATGATGGCTGCCTTCCACACAGGAGAGGTCCTGCTGATGTGAAAGCTGCTTCCCTGTCATGGTCCCAGTCCCAGCCTCCTCCCTAAGCCCTGAACGCTAAACCCTCACAGACTTAACCGACTCCACCTGGTGAGTAGCACAGAGACGCTGCTGCAGCTTCAAATGACAGAAATAGGAATGGAAGGCAGATACATGTGTTTCATGCTTTCATGTTTTTTGCAACGCCTGTACATCTAACGGAAAGCGTATTTGAATTTCATTGTCACGCCATCAAGGAACAACCGCTATGCACACTTCTGGCTGTACATCACCAGTGACCCAAGTGTCTATTCTTCCATGTAAACTCCTATTTCCTTGTAATGATGAGGTTAGTTGTTGTTTCCGTGTTTGCCATGGATATTCTCGGTCATCCATCCATTATCTATACACCGCTTAATCCTCAATAGGGTCAAGGGGGGCTGGAGTCCATCCCAAGCGTCACCCAGGGGCAGGGCTACACTTGGAGACAGACAACCAAGCACACTCACATTCACACCTACGGACAATTTAGAATCACCAATTAACCTCAACGTGTTTCTGGACTGTGAGAAGAAGCCGTAGAACCCGGAGAGAACCCACGCTGCACGGGGAGAACATGGAGACTCCACGCAGAAAGATCCCGGGACGCAAACTGGGGATCTTCTCGCTGCGAGGCGACGGTGCTAACCACTGAAACACCGCTCGGTCATCCAGTTCATTGTGATCCTAAAAGCTTCAGTAGGAAACAATTATGATGTTGAGAAGTGAAATGTCTTAAAGAACCAAAAAGCTTAATGTTTTGTTGCCTTCTACTGAAGCTGTTGGGCTTCCACGCTTACCCTTGTAAGTTTAACATCATAACGTTATGAACAGTGGTTGATTCTGCAGAAATGCACATTTATAGACAGTGTCCATACGAGGTGTGCCAGAAAAGTTCCAGGACTGGTGTCATAAAAGATATATTTCAAATCCACACTACAAGTTTTCATTTTCCAAGTAGTCCCCCTGCAGTCACTTCTCCAGCCTTCTCTGCCTTCACGCCGCCATGCACTCCTGGAAGGATTTTTCCAGGATCCTCCACAGCTCTGTTGTCACAGCCATCTTGATGGCATCCACGTCTTCTAAACGAGTCCCCTTGATGACCCCCTTGACCTTGGGGAAGAGGAAACGATCCCACGGAGCCAGGTGGGGTGAGTAGGGAGGTTGCTTCAGCACGGAGATGTTCTTCTCAGCCTGGATCTGTGGGATGCTCAGGGCATCGTGAGCAGGTTGTCATGGTGAAGCAGCCACGACTCGTCCTGCCACAACTCTCGCCTCTTCTGAACAAAGCAAACGCTGCAGGATCTCTTTGGAGACGTGCTGGTTGATCGTCTGAAGGGGAAAACTTGTAGTTTGTAGTTTGGGTTTGAATCTTTTGTGACACCAGTCCTGGAACGTTTCTCGCAAAGTGTCCAAAATGTCTTAAATTACAGTGGGGGCATTCCTAAGCTCTGCATTGAGCAGGAACGTGCTCTCAATCTGAGAGTCCATGAGTGTGCACAATGAGATCAGGCTTTACTGGAACACTAAAGGGAACTGAGCCATCATTAATTTTGTAAATTCCACATGTGACTTTCCTGCTGTGGCAAGTCAGAATTGAGCTCCTGAAATTTGAGAGCACTTCTTCACGCACTGTGAGCAGGAATGATTCATCAGCAGTCAGGCTGTTCTTGGATTTCGATGGTGTGTGGCAGTTTTGGAATGCCGTTTTGCCAAAGAACAAACTGTCTTGTACTTGACCTTTTTTGGCAAACATTTCTTCTCAAGATTCACACAGAAAGTTTGTTGTCTGCCGGCCCACATAATCAAAGTAAAACGATCCTGGAATAATGGGATTTAGTCACCTGCTTTCTCAACTTCAGCCTACAGAAGGCTTGTGTTCCTGTTGCTCGTATTTCATTAATACAGTTAGTATCTCTGCCAGCTGGGATGATGGTTATTACTGTAAAAATACGATGTTATTTTGCTTTTAGAAAAACCAAACGGAGCCATCACACAAGTGACCATGGTGTCCGTGGATGGGGATGTCTACTTTTATATAAACTGTCAAACAAAGGATCAGTATGAGGGATCTCAAACAATGCACTGTCTGCTACTTTTTCCAGCTCCTTCATCTTTATGAAATGAATTTCTTGCGTAATCGCCTCGTGGTCCTGGGCCTGGTGTTGTTGGCCACGTTGCTGCTGTACCTGCTGCTGCCGTCCATCCGTCAGGGCAGCATGGAGCCGTCCCTCGAAGCTCAGAGGATGGGCCTGATGGCCACGCCTCCTCCTCCACTTCCAACCATCAACGTGTCTATTCGCACCGGTCAGCTGCCAGGCGACCCTCCGCTGTTCTTTCGAGAAGCTTTGCCTATAGACGCAGCTGGACGGCAGATATTACCGAGGTATCTGATCAGATGATATGCTTCCGTCTCTGTAATCATTAACTTACAAAGAGAGTGAACAGTCCAGACGTGAAGATGATAAACTGAAATCTGTAGGAAAAGCATACAAACACAGGCACTGTTGCCAATATACTGCTCTAACATACTGTCATTGACTGACCTCTAGTTCTAAACTCTTGAGTGACAACCTTACGTCTCTGTGCAGGCTGCAGGTCGTCCTCTTGCATGGCCAGGCCTTCACATCCAAAACCTGGGAGGAACTCGGTACCATGGCCCTGCTAGCAACTAACGGATATCAAGCCTTAGCCATGGACCTGCCAGGTAGAACCCGAGCCTTATTGGATCTAATCAGAACTGTTAAAACTGGATCGTACGCAATATACACATATTACTTTAAATTTAATTGTAATGTAAAAGCAAACAAATACAAACCATAAGTTTGCACAACGTTGAATATGAGTTTGGTGAAAACACTGATGTGCAAAAAATACAATGTTTAGGAATAGAATCAGTTAGTGTTCCTAAGTTGTGCCACCTGATAGACAAGTAGACTCAAACACTCATTTTAACATAAGCAGGAGGCTGCTGTAGGGTTTTATAATGTACAGAATGCCATTTATAGTGTCTGAAGATTCTCAGTCATCCAGGTCATGGTTATTCTAGCAGATTAATCATAGCGACTGGACTCGCTTGAGTTCCTTGAAGACGTTTCACCTCTCATCCAAGAGGCTTCATCAGGCTTCAGTGGCTCCTTTAGGATATCAGTATGTGGAACTCCCAACTAGTCAGTCAGAACTATGAAGCCTTTTGGATGAGAGGTGAAACGTCTTCAAGGAGCTCAAGCAAGTCCAGTTGTTACAGTTAATCTACGAGAATAACCATTTAGAGTATTTTTTGTTTGTCTGTTTTTATAGTTTTCTGGTGAGCTGATAGCACACTCTTGTGGTTGAAGATGTTTATGCTTGATCTGAACTGAGCACATGTGATACAAGTTTGTTACACCTGAGAGGAAAATTATAATTATTATACTGTGTTTGCCAATAAACTGCCCTATTGTTGTTATGTGAGGCAGTATTCAGTGAGATGCTGGTGGGGCACACATTTCAAATTACACCCGTTTGAGTGGCAGTTGTGTGTGATGTATTGGGATTAAATAATTATCTATATATAACTCTGCTCTTTACTAAATTCTACTTGGAGGCTATGGGAAATCACCGGACTCAGAGGCTCTGAAGACGGACCAGAATCGGGTGGACCTGCTTTCGAGGTTCATGGAGTCGTTGGGTGTCAGAGCAGCGGTGCTTTTAAGCCCCTCAATGAGCGGACATTACTCCATCCCTTTCCTCATGAAGAACAGCGCTCAGCTGCACGGCTTCATTCCTATAGCACCAGTCGGCACCAGAAGCTACTCTCCACAGCAATACCAAAACATTCAGGTGAGGGAGGATTGTGACGAGCACAGCGTTAACTGGAATTATAAAGTTTGTAAAGGCCCATCTGTAAAGTTAGTAGAAGACTTCTACCATCATCAGCCCAGTCTGATTCTGTACTTTTGTGGTCCATATTTATATGAATTTAAAAGTTACCAACACAATGTATTTTTGTTGCATTGTCATGATTTACATCCACAGTAAGTCAGTAAGTTGTGTGTCGCTGCCCACTGCTGTATGAATACTTTTTACATCGTATATTCTCCCTCTTTGACTTTGTGTGCTTTCCAGACTCCCACTCTGATTGTGTTTGGAGCCCTGGACACAAACATGGGGGCCCAGTCCCACAAGAACCTGTTACAGCTTCCAAATCGCTCCGTGCTAAAGCTAGAAGGAGCTCGCCACGCTTGCTACATGGACAAACCCAGAGAGTTTCACCAAGGATTGATTGAATTCCTCAGCACGCTGAAGAGAGATGTGTAGCCGAGGAGGAAATCAAAAGAGGGGAAAAAAGAAAGAGGAAGACTTCTCCTCTAATCCGTGATTTAATGTGATGACAGCTTTGCTAAAAAAGGTACTAAGATCAGCATTATTCTCATATCATCATCATCACCCGAAAAAAGATGTTTGGTACAGAAGTCGAAAATATCGTGTAAAAATCTTACACTTAACAGTACAAACCAGATGTTGCCATTTTGAATGTATTATTTTTCAGTGTTTTCACCTAAAAATATCAGACTAGTTCATCTCAGCTTGTTGTAAAAAAAAAAAAAAAATAGCATCAGACGTGCACAGTCGTGAGTCTTGTTTCATGTGTTTCATGTCCCTCGTTGCATGTACAAACATGGAATGTGTTCGCTTCCTCGTTGCCATTTTTGTAGGTGACACGTCGGTGACTGCAGATATGCAGACGTAGCAGTTGCCTGTATTTAATAGCTTCTGTTAGTTTCTCATTTGAAAGTCTCGTAGATTAAGATCTGGTAGCCGTTCCAGCTTCCAACAAACCTTTGCTGTGTTCCGCAAAAGCAAACAGAATTGATGCATACTGTAATAAACGTGTATAAAAGAGTATGGGTCGTATAAAAAAAACAATTAAAACAAGTCACGTGTATTTATATAGTGCTAATAAAGTTATATGTAATATATTTGCAATAAGTTTGGACAATCACGAAAAAAACTTCAAGATGCGTGCATTGCTTAAAATAAAAACAAAGAAAGCTGTTCTTTGTATGTTTCAGTTGACTCCATGCCGTGTGTGGAGCTGTTGTATGATTTGTTGTTTGGAGCTTTATTGTGTTGCCGGCTCGTACAGCCAAAACGTTGTTGAAGAGAAAGTGTTTGACTCACTCGTGCATGTTTCTTTTTTTTTTTTTTTTTTGTTAAATGTATGAATCAAGGCACAACTTGTTTAAGTTTGAGTGCACTTTGGACAAAGTTGTACTGAAGTCTTTTTTTCTCTCCATGTTAATACATAAACACGACTTTAACATACTAACGCTCAGAATGTGTGTTACTTTTGATTGTGAATGTGTATTCTGCTTTAGCACCTTTACTTTAAGGTAGCACTTTGAATACTAGAATTAGGTGTTCTTGCACAACAGATTTTCTTCTGCGTGTCCAGGGTTGTGTTGTGGTGGCAGCAGCCTGAGCAGGTCGTTCCAGACGTCCCTCTACCCAGGCAGCACTGCTTCCTCTTTCCTCCTGGGTGATCCCAAGGCTTTCCCAGGCCAGGTGAGACATGAAATCCCTCTCGTAAATTCTGGGTCTACCCTGTGTCTCTTTCATTTGGACGGGCTGGAAAACCTCCAAAGGAAGCAGGTATCCTAGTCAGATCTCAAACCGCCTCTTTTCAGCAACTCTACTCCGAGCTGAGACCAGCCACCCGACGGAAGAAACCCATTTCGGCTGCTCTTATCAGCAACTTCATTCCTTTGGTCACAACCCAGGGCTCAACACCGTAGATTAGGGTTGGAACAAAGGCTGAAGAAAGATTCGAGCTTCGGGTCTTCACCACTACGGTCCAGTAATCCCACCACTCCATCCGTCCATCTCACGCTCCATTTTCCCTTCAAGTATGAACGAGATCCCAAGAATTTGGCTTGAGGCAACAACTCACCTTCAACACAGAGGAAGAAATGCACTGGTTTTCAAAAGAAAACTTAAAGACTTGGAAGTGCTGAATTTCATTCTGGCCGCTTCACACTCGGCTGCACGCTGCCCCAGTGCCCGCTGAAGATCACCGTCTGGTGAAAACAACAGAATCATGTCATCTGCAAAAAGCAGAGATGCGAAACTGAGGCTCCTGCACACCCTCCACACTCCGCAATTCAGCCATTTTAATTTTTTTTTTAATAGAGACCTTTTTTATTGGTTAGACTACAGAGTCTGTCTTATGAATATTGACTTCAGTCCAGCTTCAACAAGTCGCTTTCGAACTGTCCTTGCCGAACAAGTGACATTCTCGATAGTGCCCACTCATTTTGAAGGTCCCTGGAGGTGCACGGTCATCTCGTGGAGTATAAAGACGTTTCCTGCCATGACTAGCAATGTGGTAGCACCATGTTGGGCTTGTTGTTTCTTGGTGTAATGAATGGCTGTCTCGGAGATCTTCAATTTTGTAGCTACCTGTCTCTCACTCATGCGAAATTCCAGCAGCGCCAAGATAGCTGCCTTTGTAGCTTCACATAATTCTTTTGTTTTAGACATTATGTGAGAGCTGATAACTTCTGAGTTGTGCTACGGCTTGAATGTAAGCAGGAAACCACTCCAGGCCTTTACATGTGCAGTGTTGCTTATGACATGAAATGGCCTCTTATAGACCCTACAGGGAATACAATTCAGCTAAAGGATGTCAAATAGGACACAAAGTATTATGAAATCAGCATTGTATTCTTCAGGTAATATACCTTTAGTGATACCAGGATTTCAATTGAAGAAAACAAGGGTTGTCTAGTATTTTTTTCCATGTCTGTATGTCATCTCATAGCGTGTAGCATAGTAAGGTGAAGAATGTATGAATTTGAATAGAGAACCCAACAATCCAAAGTTGCCTTGGGATGCCATCTGCAATGGTGGGAAGGAACCAACCATGTATGCAAACTTCTGCATTTGAAGAAAGTAATAATAAAAAAATCTCTCTCTCATTATTCTGGCATTTAGCAAATAGAAGTAATGTTGGTAATCCTGACTGACCTAAAACAGGAAAAGTTTAGTCTGATTTAATGTCAGACAGTGAGAAGAAAAAAAAAAGGTTATGTGTCTTTCTATATAGTGTCAGAAGTTCACATCCATCTCTTTAGTATTTGGTAGCGTTGCCTTTAAACCCTATGACTTGGGTCAAACGTTTTGGGTTTCTTTCCACAAGCTTCTCACAATAGTTTGATGAGTTCTGGCCCATTCCTCCTGACAGAACTGGTGGAACTGAGTCAGGTTTGTTGGTCTCCTTGCTCCACTAATGTTCTCCAGGATTGAGATCAGGACTTTGTGACTCCACAACACTGACTCTGTTGTCCTGAAGCCTCTCTGTAACTGATCTGGAGCTATGCTGAGGGTCATTGTCCATCTGAAGACCCATTAGTGCCCAAGCTGTAACTTCCTGCTGATGTCTGGAGATGTTGATGTAATGATGGTCATTATGGTAAAACAGCTCTAAGCCCTCAGACTTAGCAGGAAGAGGCTGTCAGTGTGGACAGCATGATTGGGCCTGGAAGAGTCTCAGACGTGAAAAAAAAATGTTTCTGTCCACTAGATGTCCTCAGAGTTCAATAAGTCTCAGCCACAGACAGTAGAAGCTCCTGTACAGTCTATGGTTTCAGCAACCGCAGCATCTGACTGACAGAGAGCTCTCTGACGTCTCACCTGACCTCACATTATGCTTTCCATTGCTTCTGATCCAACAGATGGTGTGTTGGTCTCGTACAGTTAGAACGTACTGCCAGTTAAGACAAACGTACTACTGATAGTAGAGAAAGGAGAGATGATGTGACACTGCTGCATTTATTTCTCATTATTTACCATCGGTGACGGTGTGGCTGGATGTTGTGGTTCAATCTATGGTGCTATGGATGTGTCCAGCTGTTAATATTTGAGTCAGTGTTCCAGCCAGTAGAAGCAGGTATGTCACAGCCATAACTGTATAAAAAATGACTACAGCCACAGTGACAGCTTTCCTCTGCAGTCATACAGTGTATCGTAGCAGCAGCAGCAGTCTGGGAGAGGGTTGCTGAGTCAGCTCCTGTAGTCTTCTTTCTAAATGCAATGGAGCAGACTTGTGTCTGGCAGAACCAACCGAGGATGCGTCCACTCTATCTGTAGTCAAAACCAGCAGCAGTCTGTATGCTACATGATGCTGTAGCACAGTACAGCTCCGACAGCAGTGACTGCAGAGAATGTCTGTGCATCTTCAGCTGACACTGCAGCCACTGGTATGGCTATGGCTAAACACTGATAACGTACAGTCTGGGGTGCACTGATGGTTTTGCTAGCTGAGCATTGTACTGAAGCTATTGTATTCATGTAACCAGCAGCTGGATATTGGCTTTATAAAACAAAAAATGAAGCCAGCAGTAAATACAAATGTCACTATTTCTTCTTTTTGCAGCATCAGTGTGTTTCAGGGAGTAGACTGGACCAACACACCATCTGTTCATGTGGATCAGAAGTGTGGAGGTGAACTTTCCTAACTACCACATTCACTGAAATATTAAAAACTATTCTAAGACACCTGAGAGGAAGAACATGAACAGAGTCAGTAACGTGTGACAGTAAAAGAAAAAAAAAAATCCCAATTGCTTAGCATTTATTAATGTCATCATGTCAACAAATGTGTATTTTAAAGGGATACGATTTTGAAAATGAATAAACATTTTGTAGTAATGATCAGGCTTGAAGTTGGTCTAAACGAGTAGTTATTGAAATTCAAAAATTATCGTATTTTTTTTTATGACATTTGTATCCTTTTTTTTTTTTTTTTTTACAAGTAATTAAAAACAACAACAAAAACACCAATGAATCAATTAAAATAAATACAATAAAAATAAATAAATACAAAAACACCAGAATCAACGTCTTTGAAATCATGGACATATCCCACACTCTGGCAATTAAACAAAATCCAATCTAAAAATTCACTTAGCCATTATTATATGGAATATATATTTACGTGTGGGTGTATGATTGTATTAAATAAACATATATGTCTTCCTCCTGTGTTTTGCCTGTTTCCAACCCTTTAAACCGTCCTGGTTGAGGTCTAGAGACCACAGAGGCCAAAGCAAATTATTGTAATATTATTTTACCTGATAATGACACAAGTATGTCAGTGACACAATTTGTCCAAATGCAAGTCTTAGCAACCAAGTTATTATTGTGATAAGTAGTATTTTGGGTGGAATAAACCTTTCAAATCTTAACTTGTTAGTGAAAAAGCATTATTTGGGTGGAATAAACATTTAATGTTAGAGCTACTTGGACATGAAGTAGTACATTCTGTGGAATAGTTCTTGAATAAACCTTTTGAAACAATAAGTCATGTCGCTCATAATTCTTATCATCCTAGTTCTTGTGATCGAGCTCATCATCTCCAATACTTGCACTATTTTTAACTCCTTTCGCTTTGCAGCAGCTAACGACTGGAGCAACTTACAAAACACTCTCAGACTCCAATCACCACCTTCAGGGTTAAAATCCAACAGACTGGAGCTGACTGTTGCTCCTGCTGATCACGTCGGACTTTACTTATATACACACACTTTCCTACACCTCATGCACATCTTTTTCACTCACATGCATATGCCCCCATTACTTGTTTACTTTTGTTCTATGTTATGTTTATGTGTCTACTTGTGTCCATAATTTACATGTGTTTTTGTTCCTGCTGGCGCCTCTTGGCCAGGTCATATTGCAAATGGGAACTCACCTCGGGCTCCACCTAGGAGCGCTACTTCTCCCCCTCCTCCTCCACTTTCTTAGGTATGTGTGGGCGGCGCTGACAGGTGGAACTGATCGGTAATCACCTGATTCTCTCCAGGGCGGGAAGTGGTTCATTCTGACAGTTGCAACCTCATTCCACAAAAGATGCCAGCAAACCACAAACCGACGCCGGATCGGAGACTCACATTAACCCTTGCCTATACCTCAGCGCCCCTGGTCCCACATCGCACTGGACTTTGTCACTAGTTTACCAGTGTCCCACGGTAATTCAGTTATTCTGACAATTGTTGACAGGTTTTCTGAAGCTGCTCATTTCATTGCTCTCCCCAAGATCCCCTCAGCTAAAGAGACAGCCATCCTGTTGACCCAGCATGTCCTTCACCTGCATGAGATCCCTGATGTGGTGTCCGACCGAGGGCCCCAGTTTACATCTGAGGTCTGGAAGGCATTCTGTTCGGCCCTGGGAGCTACCATTAGCCTGATGTCCAGTTACCATCCCCAGTCCAATGGTCAGACCGAGCGCACCAACCAGTCCCTGGAGAACTTCCTAAGTTGCGTCATCTCTGAGAACCCATCCACCTGGAGTGACCATCTGACCTGGGTTGAGTATGCGCACAATTCTCTGACTAATGCATCCTCTGGACTTTCACCTTTCCAGTGCTCTCTGGGGTATCAGCCCCCCTGTTTCCGTCCCAGGAAGAGGAGATGGCAGTTCCCTCAGTCCAAGCCTTCATTCATCGTTGTGAAGTGAAGTGGAGGAAAGCTCGTGCAGCTCTGACTTTCTCAGCTCAACGGATGGAACAGCAGGCCAATCGCCGTCGGTCACCAGCCCCGGCCTGCGCTCCCAGACAGAAGGCTTGGCTAAAGACAAATGACTTACCTTTAAAGGTTGATTCACGAAAGCTTGCGCCACGATTTGTAGGTCCTTTTGAAGTCCTGTCGGTCATTAATCCTAGTGCTGTTCGCCTGAGGCTGCCTCCGTCTGTAAGGATACACCCCACCTTCCATGTCTCACAGGTCAAACCTGTTAAGGACAGTCCACTGCCCCCGCCCTGTCGTCCCCCTCCACCACCCAGGATGGTGGATGATGGTCTGGCGTTTACTGTACGGCGGTTGCTGGATGTTTGACACTGTGGACGTGGGCTCCAGTTCCTGGTTGATTGGGAGGGTTATGGCCCGGAGGAGAGGAGTTGGGTCCCCAGATCTTGGACCCCAGCCTGATTTGGGGCCTTCGGAGAAGACACCCAGACTGGTTCAGGAGAGGGGGGTACTGTCAGGACCTCCGCCTCAGGCTCTGCCTAGGAGTGTGAGTTAGTTAATGCAGTGCAGTTTATGTTATAGTTTTGGTAGTAGTGTTGGTTCACTTTCACTTTCTGTTTTGTACATTTTTCTCTGCCTATCTGTTAAAGGACCTCCTTCAGTTCATCCCGTTTGAATCTGCCAGTTTTGTGTTTGCCTTCATTGATTGTAAATAAATATTTTTCGTACTGTGACAAACTGTGTGCTGTGAACTCTGTCTGTGCTGGAACCTCTGAACCAGATTCGTAACAGGAACTGGTTCTCAAACATTTTTACCTGGTAAAATAAAGGTCAAATAAAATAAAAATAACAATAAGTATATTTTGAGTGAAATCTTCCTTTAAAACTGTAAGTCAATGAATGAATGAAATATTTATTTCAGACAAAATAAAACTAAAAACTAAATAAAAAAACAGGGAAAAAAAGTACAAACATGAGTCTGAAAAGGAGCAGGGAGAAGTACAAACTTATCAACTCCCACTCCTTTATCACCCTATGATCCATTACAATATGACATATATAATAAATGGATTTAATATAATACATGCATCACTTAACTGCACCGATATACAGTATATAATTGTACCATATACATAATCAGTTTCTTTACAATAAATATGTCATTTCCTAATTGTTACAGAAATGTATATTACCAATATAAATATATTACAACAGTACACTACATAAATATATGTATAGGCCTACACACACACACATACATATAGATATTAATAAGTAATGGATTTAATACACAATATTAAATAATATATAACAATATTTAATCATCCTCATTAGGATATGTGATACCACTACTAATTAATCATTAAGCACAGTCGTCCTCAAATGTATTCATATCCTCCCATTAAAGAAGGAAAAAAAAACCCCAGCCTCAGTCAGTGAAATAAGTTGAAATTGACAAAAGTAATAATAAATAAAATGTAATGAAAATCATGACATTGATTTTGAATTTTGAATTGTGGTTCAACAGAAATATTTAAAAAACAAACAAACAAACAAGCAAACAAGCATGATGGGACCTGTAAACTAATATGTAGTTGAACAACCTTTGAGCCAATCACTGCCATCAAGTGTTTTATGTAACTCTCAGTCAGACTTGTGCACCTGTTGACAGGTGTTCTGATTTCACTGCTCATCAGCAAAGTGCTCTCATTTCTCCAGGACAGGTTTTTTTTTTTTTTTAATATTCTTTTCAACCACAATTCAAAAGCAACGTCTTATTTCACTAAATTGTATTTTAGCAAATTTTTATTTATTATTACTTTTTTCAGTTTCTTGTTATTTTATTGTGAATTTCGCCTTTTCTCTACTGTACGGGTCTGAACACGTTTGAGGACGGCTGTGGGTAAGCGGTGCACTTCACTGATCATCCGTTGCGGTAGGTGGCTCTGTCTGAACGGAGGTGCGGGTCCTGGGAGTGTAGCCTCCGGGTCTGCAGAGTCCCCACTGGCTGGACCGGTTCCAGAGGAGGGCCTCTTATTTTGAAGGCCAGCAGCTCGCTGGTCAGCTGACTGGAGGCTGCTGTCTGACTTGCAAGTTGACTGCAGAAGGTGAGTAACGACAACTAACGGACGAGAATAAACACACACGCTGTTTAGCGCCCTGTGATATCCGCCGAGCTTCTCCATCCTCGTTCCGCCGCCGCCGGAGGGTCAGTCCCGGGTTAGTTTTGTCCCGGGCTAGCTCGCTGTTAGCGGCGAACCTCCAGCAAGGTGCTCGAGCAGGTTACCGACAGCTGCAGCAGCTCCAGCTCCAACCGGATCTGTTAATGCGCGACACGCTGCCGTGGCGGAGACCAGACGCACTGATCCACATATAAATCTGTGTTTACGCGTCCCCGGCCTGCCGCACTGTGAAAACCGGTTTGTTGTGTGTTGTGTGCTCAGGGGAGGGAACACGTCTCACCATGCTGCCTGACAAAGACGGCCCAGGGGTCGGCGGCGGACAGAGCGCCCCCGGGGCAGAGGACCCCTCCGTGGGTCTGTTCAGAGAATACCTCCGGCTCAGGACCGTCCACCCGGAGCCCGACTACGGTGAGACTCCTGGTTGTCACAGCGCATCGTCCAGCGCTAGATTTAGGCTTTTACCTGTGAGGAGGGTAAATAGCTGCTGCAGGACACTGATGAGGGCAAACACACAGTGACTGTTTTAATTTAAAGCTAAAAGGGGAAATATGTTTTATTGGAGATAGTGCATACATATATATATTTATGCTGCATGGATTCTGGGAGTTTAGATGCTGTGTGTATATATTGTACAGGGGAGAGTGTGTGTTATCTGCTTTTGTGTGTGTGTGTTTTTCTTTTTTGCATTTCCTCTTTGCAGTTGCAGGTTCATCTCCAGTCGTCCTCAAATGTATTCAGACCCTTCCATTAAACAAAAGGCAAAATTCACAAAAGTCACTTAAATAACTAGAAACTGAAAAAAGTAATAATAAATAAAAATTTACTAAATTACAGTTTAGTGAAATAAGACATTGCTTTTGAATTGTGGTTGAAAAGAATATTTAAAAAACAAAACAAACAAAACTCTTAAATTAGAGGACTTTGCTGATGAGTAGTGGGTCAAAATCTCTCTAAAGTCCAGGAAGGAGTTGATGACGTGCCGCTGTAAGGAAGGGAAAAGACAGGTGTTGTCATTGACACCTTCAATAAGTCCTTGTAACAACAGGTTTGTAAAACTCTGCATTTACCAGCAGCTGTGTTCTCCACAAACCTAGATCCATGACCTGGACTGCCTGGGCAGTGGACCGTGATCCCTGGAAAGCAGAAATCGTTCATGTTACAAGTTTAAAAGCGCTAAATTGAAATATGAAATTCCTTGAAACTGATCCAATGAGTGGATGCCTTGTTTGTGAGTGTGTTTTTCACACCCTTCTATTAAAGGCCCTTCCAAATCTGTTAAATGAGAGCACTTTGCTGATGAGCAGTGGGCCAGAACACCTGTCAACAGGTGTCTGACTGAGAGTTACAGAAAACACCTGATGGCAGTGATTGGCTCAAAGGGTTGTTCAACTAAATATTAGTTCATATACATATATATATATGTATTTAGTTTGTACTTGTACTTTTGTCAATTTCAACTTATTTCAGTGATTGAAGTTGTTCTTTTTCCTTCTTTTGTGGGAGGCTATGAATACATGTGAGGACGACTGCACATATGCAACCTGTAAATAGAGATGGTTAAGATTTTGACAGTGCTACTCTGATTGAAACTACTTTTATCAGTACTGTTTGAGATTTTTAGTTTTTTAGAAGAAAACTAACCTTTTGAGAGTTACGATTGCTAAATTTTACTGTAAGTAAAGTGACATTTTTGAGCAAAGAACTATTATACACCATAATGTGTAAAATAAACACAATGATTATTGACAGCAAAATACACAAAACACACAAAACACACAGCTGTCTAATGCATTGTGTGTCGTGATCATTGCACTGTGCACAGAATGTCACAAGTTTTACTCACAAAAAGAGGCAATATGTGTTTTATTCAACTTTCCAGCATTATTAAACAATTTAAAGCTTCACCGCGAAGAGATGTTTAGTTCATGTGAGTGCACTGTGCCAATCAACTCTTCACTTTTAAGTCAAACAGTAAATGCAGGACCTTCCTTGACAATATTTGTAGTTAAGAAAACAAAGTACTTCTTCTGCCACTGCTCATCCCAACATTCAGTTAGAGAAAGAAAAAAAAGTTTGTCTGCAGCCTTCAAATCACTGAAGCCCTCCTGCTCCAGGCCTCGATGCTGTAACTGAATTACGACCGTCCAGATGATGCTCTGGTGGTTTCGTGCATGTTCGTATAATCGTGTAACTCTCTGTGTGAGCTGCTCCCGTACATAACAGACCACTGGATGCAACTTCTGCCGGATGTCTGGACAAATTGCTTCTGTTTTGGCTCTTACACACAAAGCAACAAGCACTGGCGGTGTTAACTCGCTCAGGGTCTCCTCCACCCCTCAGACTCCAACAGAGGATGCTCTTTGGGATTTGGAAAGTAAAGATAGAAAGTTTCTTACGGTGGTGAGACAGAACGTCCAACACAGCCTTCGTAATTTATAAAGCACCGACAGCAGAACTGTTAAAGTCAGAGCTTATCGATACTCTGGGGCTCAGTGTGCATCTTCCCTGTAGTTGAGGTTTTTTAACATTTAAAGCCTCTGAGTTCACCCCATCTATCTAGCAACCTATTTTTTATGATTCTTACTTTCTGGAAAGTTGCCATTCGATGGGATGATGTTTTTGTAGTTCGTGTGTTCTGTATGTTTAGTGGTTGCAGAGTTACAGCTGCTTCTGAGTCAATATGGCCTCTCTTTGCCTGAACATGTCACAAGTAAATGACCTTTTGCAAGTTAGACAGCATGCAGGAGTCTTTTTGAAACTTCTGCTCTGAGGTGTAAAGTACAACCTGAGAGAATATGAAGATGCTCAGCATTCCTCCAGCCCAGTGGTTCTCAAACGTTTTTTAGTCACGACCCCCAAGATAACATAAGTTTGTGTTTGTGACCCCCCAGTTTGAATTTTTAATATCTCATTAGTAGTAACTGTGTTGTTCAGGCATTAATGTGTTAAAAATGAATGTGTTAATTCCACAGATTAGTCTCTTTACATTAACACGTTCATTTTCTTCTTCTGAATGAATTTAATGTATTTTTAACAAATGAAGGTAAAAAAACAAAAGAAAGTAATTTAAGAAAGAGCAAAAAAGAGTAATAATAAAAATCATAACATTAACACGTCCGACAAAGGAGTGGGAAGAAGTATGCACTTTTAATTTTGACAGCCCTAATACACATTTATTAGATAAATGTAGGCTTTATTTTATTTTAATTTTTTACAATGATCTGGCGACCCCCTGAAATTATCTTGGGACCCCCATCGGGGTCCCGACCCCCAGTTTGAGAACCACTGCTCTGGCCCACTCTAGTTAGATGGCCTCTCGGCTCTACAAGCCAGTCAGAATTTTATCCAGTTTCTACGTAGAAACTGAGGAACCAATAGTCCTACAGCTAAGAATTTACATCAACGTGCCTCCTCACTGCCTGCTGCCTGCAGGTGAGTCAGTCTGAACAGGAAGCTGCACGGAACCAGACTTATTTACTCATTAGAGCTGCTTCCACTGACGCAAGACTCAGTATCAGCAAGGAGAAAAGCATAGATGATATTTTGTTGTTGCTAAACGTCTTCATGCACTCCAAGCATCTGAGGAGCTGAAGATCCAGCAGTTTGATTGCACGGGCACAGGTCAGAAATGTGTGCAAACTGTGGAGCTGAAGGACAGACTGACAGACTGGTGAAGCCTGGAGACCAAACACTGGGTGCAACCTAAGCTCAGCCAGTGTTTCCATCTGTTTGCGTCTGTCCTTCTCTCTGTGCTCACATGTAGTGAACTTAAATACAGCCAAATGTCCAATAAAGCTGCTGTCATTTACATATTTCTCTATTTCTGTTGTTGGACATGAGAACGCGCATGAAATAGTGACTGAAATGCAGCTTATTAAGACCCCGGCAGTCACTCCAGAGACATTTACCAGCTGCAGCTCTGCACTGCTAACAAGCATGATCTGCTTACACATGAGCTAAAACCACCGGCTGTGCAGTGAATTTTCCCATATTTCCATGTAAAATTCCTCATCCCACACACTTATTTACTTCTTTTTATGACTGTTTCTTCATACATATAGATTAAAAACTCCTTCTAAATGAGTTTATAATGTGTCCTGTTACAACTATAGAGATTGAAAGTCATTGACAGTGTTATCATATTTTGTTCTATCATTTATCAAAGGTCACTTTTTATCTGCATCAGTTAGACATTAAACACTCCCAGTTATGTATTCAGTTTGTGGTTTTAAAAGCTGAGCTGTTCTGCAAAGTAATCAATCCACAAGTCGCAGGTTTTTTGTTCAGCTTCTCGTCATAGGGCCAAAACAAGCTGCTATACGGTGTGTTTTCAGACTAGTCTGGAGGTGGCACAGTCCTGCCTCGTTACTGGAAACAAGTCGGAATATTTCATAGGTGACGAGAGACATTTTCTGTCTCGGTTTTCTGTGACCCCACCAGAGATCAACAATACCAGCAACAGCAGCAGCAGCAGGGGTTGAGAAATTTCACTCAATTATTAATTTTTAAACAGACTGTTCTGCTATCTGTTTATTCATTTATAGATGCTGCTCTAAGGTTCCTGGACAGAATAGCGGAGGAGCTTGAGCTACCCATAACAAAGATTGAGGTGTGTGTCACCTGATGGTTGTTTAATCCGTGCTGAAAACAGCTGTACACATGTTGTCGAGCCATAACAGATAAAAAGCGTTCCTATCCGTCATGTCCTCTCCCTTCTTCAGGTCTGTCCAGGCAGAGTTGTGTCGATCATGACATGGGAAGGGACGAAACCCACGTTGAAATCCGTCTTACTGAATTCCCACACCGATGTTGTGCCTGTTTTCCAGGTATGGCGTCCGCCTCCGTTCGCGGCGTTACAATCCTGTTTTCACCTGTAATGCACATGAAAAAAATAGATTTGATATCAATCTCTTCTCCAGGAACATTGGAAATACGATGCTTTCAGTGCTTTCAAAGATGCAGAGGGCAACATTTATGCCCGGGGATCACAGGACATGAAATGTGTAACTATACAGTGGGTATAAACTGCCTTGACAACTTGTTTTATTAAACAGGATTTGTGCTCTAGTGTTGTTGTGAGCTTCACTTGTGTTTATGTTCTATGAGAAACACCTGTTTTAACTCCCGCTCACTCAGCCTGCATTCTGTCAGTTCACACTCCGTTTCTTGTTGCTGTCACATATCTGCTTTGTCTGCTGTTGTTCTCTGTAGGTACATCCAGGCAGTCAGAAGGCTGAAGGCGGAGGGATGGAAACCGATGCGTACTGTACATTTAATGTTTGTTCCTGGTATGATATTTCATTGCTTCCTATCGCTGCTTGTAATTGTTCATGCAGACATGCAGGCACTGACTTGACAACCTCCTCGCTTTAGCTTTTGTACATAATGTTGTTATGACTCAGCCACATGCATCACTTCTATGTTTGATAAAGTCGCCCCACATGTAGATGAGTTGAAAAGAAAGACAGTAAATACACATTTATCAGTGATCACAAAGGGTGGACATAGAAGTAACGCTGCAGTTTGCGATCTTGTAGTATGATGATGCACAAAACAAACCAACAAAACACATTCATTTGGCCAAATGAGTAGAACCACCAGAGCTGCCTCCAGATTGCAATAAAACCCCCAACACATCCTGGAATTTGTTCAGTCTTCAATAGGAGTGAAGACAGGACGCATCAGATCTTTATCAGCGGGTTCACTGGGTGGTAAAACCGACTGTACGTGTCGTATAATGACATTTTATCTCCGCTGATAATGAGACAGCAGGACTTGGTGGAGCTGGAACAATGGCTTTAATGTGATGTTTCCGTAAGAGTCGGTACAGATGGTACAAGACCTTTTTCATTCAGATTCAACCGCTGCTCAACATGTGGGTAATAGTGGTGTTTTGTCTGTTCGCCACACAAAGGCTTTGATTCACGTCTCTGTAGATTGAAGTGAAACAAAACCCCATTCAGCACAAATCAGCGCTCTGAGCACTGGTTTGGGAAGTCTGGTGACATTACAGTATTGCTCACACACAGCTCCACCCGGCATGAGCAGGTTCGCTTTAACGATCGACAACAACAGTGAGGATTTCATTAGATCTGTGCACACGCGGTTGTAGCTGATGCCAGGTGTGAGACGTTTGACAAACGACGATGAATAAAATATGCATGTTATTTTCCTTTTCAGACGAGGAAGTCGGAGGTCACAAGGGAATGGAAACATTTGTGAAGCATCCAGGGTTTCAGAAATTAAACATTGGCTTTGCCCTTGATGAAGGTAAATAAATAACTGTTGGCTGCGTTTTTCAAAAGTTAATGAATGAAAACACTGACGGCGCCTCGGTGGAATAGTGAGTTAAAAAACTGGGTCATTTGTTGAGTTTAAATCATGCCTGCAGACACTTTTCCTATCAAAGATATGTTAAATTGACACCTTAAACAGTTCAAGTTAAAAAGAAAAACAAAATAATTTGGCTGGATTTAGCTGCGGGTAACCATAGCAACAGCACTGGTGAAGTTGCTAGTGATGCTAAGCTAACTGACCACAAATAAACTTTCACGTAGGATAAAAATGTACACTTTGTTTTCATTATTATTTTAGTATGAGATTCTCTAAAGTGCTTACAGGTAAAATAAAGGATTTAGAGGAAGTAGTTGTGGCACCTTCGGCCTCCACCTCATCCCCACATCGAGACTCTTGTCAGACATTTCCACTGGTTTTTGGCAGGTAGCAGATTTAATGCAGATGAATGCAGGACTGAATGATATGACTTAAAATAAAGTTTTTCTTTTTGTACCTAAAGTGTTTTGTTTGGACCTCTGAAGCCGTTATGGCACACAGGAGAGGTGCACTGTGCTGCAGTATTTAATGTATGTTTTTATGTGGTCTCCAGGAAGACTAGCAGGGCACAGCCAATGGGAATCCTAGAAGATAAACGTAAATAAACACAAAGACTCGATACAGTTAATGCTCCGTGTCTTAACTCTGAAGGTGCCCAAGAGGAACTTTTCATGAAGCAGAGGAGCTGACTGGTTATTACTTGTGGTTGTACAGATAGTTACAGCCATAATAACCAGTAACCATAACAATATCCTGAACTGCTGCACTTTGGTGCTTGTACAGTTTACTGAAACTTGTAGTAAATATCAGCCTAAAAAAATCAACCTATTGTTAGACCCGATTCTTTAGTTGGAAGCCCAAGAACAAGCCGGAGAAATCTTCAGTTCTCAGATGCAGAATTTATTTAGGTCACAGGTAAAGTTTTGCAGCGCTGGAATTCAGAG